CTTACAAAAATGTTTAATGCTCCTTAGAAATTCTTTAACATGAAGAAAAAAAAAAGCATGAATCAAGACATGGTTCTTGATTAAAATACTCAAGTTCAAATCATTTTGAGAGTCAAATGTGACCACCTCTTTTCCAGTTAGAATTTGTGTTGTCCTTCTCAATCTTTATATTCCCATCTACTTTTGTATGCTTCTTTTACTCTCATGTTATTATAATAAGAAGGCTAGGCTAAGCTTTACCACTGTCTCCACTCTCATCGGCTCCACACAACATGACACAAGTTAAGAGCCTCCCCACTGTGGGTGTCCACCCCACTCAGCTCGGTTTATGGGACCACCTTATTTGAGGTTCCAAGTGGGCTGCTCCAAGAGGCCAATTTTAATGTAAGCAAACAGCAGCCATCGATTGGCCAGCAGATGTGTCACTGCCCATCAAACTGCAAACTACATATGAACTGCCACTTCCTCATTGTGTTGACAGACAGCACCACAAGAAAGTCGTGCATTTACAGAGAGATATAGGAGATGATGGCACAGCATGGCTACACCAGGACTTATAAACAGTGCCAGGATAAGCTAACAGCAGGAGGCAGAGGGAGTCCAGTTCAGTGGCCTCAGGATTCCTTCTTTACTATTTGCAGATGATGTGGTCCTGTTAGCATCATCATGCCATGATCTCCAGCTCTCACTGGAGCTTTTTGCAGCCAAGTGTGAAGCGGCTGGGATAAGAATCAACAACTCCAAATCTGAGGTCATGGTCCTCAGTCGGAAAAGGGTGGATTGCTCTTTTTGGGTTGAGGGTGAGGTTCTATCTCAAGTGGAAAAGTTCAAATATATCAGGGTTTTGTTCACAAGCTAAGGAAGAATGGAGCATGAGATTTACAGATGGATTGATGCAGCATCTGCAGTATTGCAGATTCTGGGCCGGTCCGTTGTGGTGAAGAGAGAGCTGAGCTGTAAGGCAAAGCTCTCTGTTACTGGTCATTCTACCTTCCTACCCATACCCATGTTGGAGTTTAGACGTTTTTGGTATTTTTCATTTTTATTTGTTTAGGATGGAAACAATTTTGTTTTCAAATATCTCAGGCTGGAAATGGACACCAGTGACTGCTGCAACTTGAAAAGGAAGAAGCGGATAAAGAGGATGGATTTATTTATTTATTTATTTATTTATTTATTTATTTATTTATTTTCTGGTTCTCAGACATCAGTGTCACCCATCCCATGCATTCATTAAATTTCCCCGCTGGTGCTCTGTCAGCAACATTTATTAAATACTTACTCGGATTTTGCTTCCAGCCTCGTATGTGTTGTTTTTGCAACTTATTTGGAGCTTTTATTAGTTTAAAGTTGTGCAAAGGTCACATATTATTATTTTAATCTTCTTTTACAGCGACACAATTTTAATATACACAATTTTCTTCATCCCAAAATTAAGAAGATTAATTTAAATAAATAGAAATGAAGCAGTTGAGAAGGGAAAGGGATTAAAAAGAGAGGAAATTACAACAGAAGTATACTTTTCCCCAAAGCTGCTTACATTAACATTACAGATTAAAAGACACTGGAAGGTCAGTAAAGAGGTGTGAACCAGAAGGCAAAAAATAATGTTTGTGAATTTATATGCTTCTCTCTGTCACTCTTCCAGACAGCTGTCTAGTTGAGACTGTTTACTTTTCACGCAAATTGAACAAGAGACAATCAGGGAGGGTATGTTATCTCCCTTCTAATCACATGCCTCTCCAGTGACTCAGGTTCCTGTTTTAACATTCACACGTTTGCTTGCGTCATCAACAATTGAAATTTAAATTCTGGGAGCGATAACAATACGTTAGTGGTGGAAGCAGTGGGAGTATGTTTGGGTTCCATTTAGGCTCTCACTCTCTTTAATTACATACCTTTATCAGGATAAAATGTCTCACTTTGCAGATGTTCCCACCCAAAGATAATTTAATGTGCAACTAGAAATGTAAAAATAAAATGAAGTGAAAGTTTTAAAGTGTTCAGAATTCACAAATAATTTATCATCAGGACCGTCAATTCATTTTACTTCATTACATCAGCACTTGTCTGATTACTGAAGTGTGAAAGTCCGTTTGTAATCGACTGTCAGAAGTACTTTACATCAAAGAATCGGTAGTGATTTAATTGCACAGTGAATCAATTTCCTGTGTTGATGTGAACTAATAGTGACTTCCCCCATACTGGCTTGGGAAGGATATTAATTTGGAGTTATCTTTTGATTAGCTTGGTTGTGTGTGTCATTATATTATATATATTATATATATATATATATATACACACAAAAATAACTTTTGAGTTGTACAAGATGTATTTGTTTTTTTGTTGTTCTTATTTCTTTCATTTTAATTTAACTAAAGTGTAAAGCAATTTGGTCAGCTTTGATTGTTTTTATGTACTATATAAATAAATTGACATTGACTGTGTCATTAAATGTAAAAAGTAAAAAAAAAAAAACTATAATCAACTGGACTTTTGCTATTTCAAAGAGTATCACATCCGTCATTTGATAACTGGAACTGAAAAAAATAAAATAAAATAAAAACAGATGAGCTTCTAGTTTTGCTTAGTAAATTAGAAATTAGTCACAATCCAGTTCTACCCTCTACATTTTGACTTTATAAATAACAATTTTTGTCAAGTTTTTTTCTTCTTCAATTCAATTCAATTCAAAAATACTTTATTAATCCCAAAGGGAAATTATTTGTTGATGTAACTCGTTATCCTCATTTCATTAAGAGATGTTATAGATACTGATGGCTGTTGGCAGGAAGGATCTCTTATAAAGGTCCATCCCACAGTGGATCCTAAGAAACTGGCTGCAGATGCCGTCCGATCCGTCCACCCAGACTCGGCTGGCCTCTCGGTTCCCCCAGGCTGTAGGACCGCCTGAATGCTGGGCAAAACTCTTACCAGAGCAATGACCACTCCTCCCAGCAGTCTGCCAATCTCCTCATTGCTGCAGACATCCAACTGTAGGTGCCGAGGGACGATCCTGTCCTTCCTCTGTCATGAGCCATGTTTCTTGCTGTAGTTCCAGGATCTCAGTGGTCAGGCACTCGAGCGCAGCTGGCAAGTAGATGAGAATGCATCCACAGAACATCCTTTTCAACTCATTTGAGATGTGGGGCTGTAGTTGAGATATTATTTGAACTTTTGAGATGTTAATCAGTTGCTGTTTGTTGTAGAAAACTGCCTTGTTGCCATGGTTACGCATCATAACAAATGTCCAAAACTAAAAAAGTTTCAGTAAAAATCCTTCCAGCTGCACAGCATCTGATACTAGAGGAAACAATCATCCAAAAATGTGCTTTACATCCAGGAAAAGAGGAATTAAAGTTTCCAAAAGCAAAATCTCAGAATGAAAGTAACAGAGCTGCTCCAACATGCAGCCACCTTGAGCGGCGCAATTCTAGAACTTCTTCTTTTGACTGCTCCCTTCAGGTGTCAGCACATCGAATTAGCTTGCACAAAGACTTTGCAATTGATTTTACATAACCACAGACCACTGAGCTACCACAGCCCTTTGTGTGGAGCAGGGAACTGTCATCTAGGGTGTCCGAGGTAGCAGATGGTGGGGGTTACGGGCTTTGCTCAAGGGCCGCGAGTGGGACAAATGAGGGTGGAGGCAGGTGTGGGTGCTTCACCTTCCTACCCATATTTTGATATTGTTGGTTAGGGAAGTTGAACCAGAAACCTTCTGCTCACAGGCCCACCTTTTCTAACATGCACCACCACTCCCCTGTGTCTCTTCATTTATAGAAAATAGATTATTTATTTTTTGTACTTATGCTGATCTATATTAGTCTCTTAAAATGCAATAAAAAGGCATTTATATATATTTTTAAACAAATAAATAATTAAAAAAATAAACACATAGTACATATATACAAGATAGGAAATACTAGACACTGAAACGAATTTTACAGCTTTGCGTTTCTATTGCTAGAAAAAAAATCTAGAACAACTATTTTATTTTTATTGAAAATTTTATATTTCATCTGTTAGTCTTTGCAACATTAAATTGCTCGTATAATTTGGAATTGTTGCATATGTATAGATAAGACATCACTTTTTATGTTTTCATTTTCTTTTTTTTATTTTACACAACATAACAACACAGTACATGTTGTCTTTTTCTGTACAGAAGCTTCCCGCGAGCTTGTGACCAACACAGGCTACAATATACCAATGTCAGTGAAAAGCTCATAAGATAATCATGTTTTTTTTCCCCTTTAAAAATAACAATTTCATAAGAGGTCCATTAAAGTCTTCAACTTTTTGTTGCTTCTTTTCTTTAAATGTCAAGAAAAAGTCTGTTCTCTTTTGTAGGTAGGAAAGGCTATGTGTGAAATCTGTCTCTTCCTTAGTTCATCTTTGTCCTTGTTTGTGGAGCTGGAGTGAAATCCGATTATAGTATCTGTTAGTGAGGGTATTTTAGTGCAAAAGAAGGCACCGACTGCTATTCTCTTGCCACGCTGTGAATGCACACCGTCAGCCAGTGTGTGAATGTCAAAAACAATGTGCTTTTCTTCTTTCTGTATTGTTTATTCTCCTCTTATTTCCCTTTATTAATTACCTTTTGTGGTATTTTCAGACAAGGTGAGTGTTAATTGGGAAATGACGTGGCAAACCCATTGTCTTGTTTTTCTTCTGTGCTATAAAGTGGAACCAAGACAACTCAAAAACACTACGAGACAAGGCAATTTATCCATTTGCTAAAGGATAAAGTCATTGTAGAGAACAAATCTGTAAACTGGATACAAAAAAAGCTTTGGAAAAACATGATGAAAAGAATGATTAAAACAAGAACTCAAAACAACACCAAAAATAAAAAAAAAACCCTGTCAAGTTTTATTCGAAGCACCCAATCATTCTTCTTCACACATCTATGAACCAAATTCATAGATGTAAACATACATTCTCTAAACCGTATCAATAGAGATTCAAACATCAAAAACAGGCTTTTTCATTCACCCATACACGTGTAAACAAATCCAAACACACTGCAAACACTCACACAAAGGTTGAACAGTAATGAATGAACCAAAGTTTGCTGTAAAAGTGCTGCCTTGTTCCAGATCAAACTGTGCTTTCTAGGATCCAGTCAGAGTCACAGCGCACTTTGTCCGAGTCACTGTCCTCATCTTTAGGTAGCAACATCCCACTCATTGATTGGCTCCTTTTATTTCGCATAACCCGCCCTATTTTTGGCGCTCCGCCTCCTGCTCCCTGATGGGAGCGAAGAGTCTTTGAGCCTTCCTCGCTAAACGAGTATCTCCTCCTCGCTCTGCTTCGGCCTCCCTCCTCTATTGGAAGAGTCTGGTACTTTGCAGAGGAGGAAGCAGTGCGAAGAGCTCGCTGCAAGATGGGTGTCTCTCTGAATCGTAAGGAAGGAACTGGGCTGGGAGAGGCAAGAGGACTGGAGAAAGGAGAAGGGGAGAAAGGAGGCGGAGGAGTTGTGTTGAGAGAAGTTGAGTTGTTCCGGTTAGTGTTGAGGTTCTCAATAGGGATAGGGGTGGAAGAAGAGGGAAGGGCCGTGGTGGGGGTAGAAGATAGTGGGCGAGGAGAAGAGGCTTGGGGAAGGTTATCGGGCAACACTGGAGTATTAGAGGAACCTGAGCCAGGCTTACTGGGAGCTAGCTTCCGTTTTGGCTTGTGAAGGGAACTGGTGGCGGTGGTGGGCGATGCAACGCTGGTTGGTGGTCTCTGTTCACCCACTTTCTCCCGGTCTCCACCTCCAGCTGATTGGCTTTTGGCCCCCCACGTTTGACTGAGAACCAATGTGGCAGTGGAGCTGTCTGGTAAGGAGCATTCAGAAGACTGTGTTACTGTGTCTTTTTCTCCACATCCACCTGCCTCATCTCCACTCTTTTTCTTTGCTCCTCCTGAGAGGTCATCCACTGCGATCAATTCATGTTTGGAGGCGCTGGGAGTCACGGTGCATCCTTGTGACTGCTGCCCGTTGGTCTGAGAGTGAACAGTAGTCATTGACATTGAAACGCCTTTGCCACCCTCACCTGGATTGCATACCTAAAGAAAAGCAGAAAGAAATTAAACATATATATATATATATATATATATATATATATATATATATATATATATGAATGTGAATAACATTTCAAGCTCCCTCTGATCTATTAAAATCATCATATATAATAATTCATTCAACATTTATTTAGACATGTTAATCCCATTGAGCCTCGGGGACTCATTTACAAGAGTGACCTGAGTGTATGTAATAATGTGTATGTATTGTCATCATTGTATGCTCCCACACAATGGTGAAATTGGCTCTGAATTTAACCCATCTACCACCAGATGGAGCAGTGGACAGCTATGGAGGGTGCCCAGGGAGCAACTGGGGATGGGGTGTCCTGCTCAGAGACACCATGAGATGTGCAATGACCAGGGATTGAGCCCGGGACCTTGGGGTCCCGAGACAGCTGCCCTGCCCCTACACCATCTCGGCCCCCTTTCATATCTTGTATAAAGATAAAATACTTCAATTCTCACCTTAGATGTTTGTGTGCCAAGCTCAGACTTGATCTGTCATTGAAACATTCTGTTACAATTACATCTGTTAAATGGCTGTAGTACTCTGTAATTGTCATGCATTTGCATACAAGGTATTTTAAATTACGTTCGTATTAGTTATAAACCCATCAATGCAATGGAATTCATTACTCTTAATTAACATTTTGATCAGATGAAATGAAAATATCTGACAACGTTTACCTTCGGTACTCACATTAAAAATAATGCCAAACAAACTAAGCATTTTTGTGAAATTTGTGTTTGTAATGGCACTGAGCTCTACAGGACAGTATAAAAGAAAGAGACTGCTGATTTAGATAACTGATAAAACAAAAGAAACAGTCCTGCTGGATCATAAAATGAAAATCTCCTTTTTTAAGTTTTCTTCTTTTAGGTTAGAGCGTAATACAAGAGACAGACACCCACCTTGTAACGTATCATCAGGATTATGATGAAAACGAGCACTGAGGCCACTATTATCCCTCCAATGATGATGATCATAGTCCCGCCGAGGAACTGAGACTGCATAAAATGACACCTCATGTACTCTGACTCTGTGGTGAATTGCACACAGCCGACCACTCGTGTTGCTGTCAGGGAGGTGATGACATCATCGTAGATTGCCAGCACGCAAAGGTCATACTGAGTTCCAGCAGCCAGGTTATTGACCAGAAAGTTTTTGCTTGAAGGGGGGATCATTCTGTTGCAGAGAGAAGGGAACAAAGAGAAGAAAAGTGCATTATTACTATTTTTTTTTATTCTACTTAAATACTTCCTATCATCAAATAAGTGTGGAGAGTGTCATCAGGTTTGCTCAATAAATATTAACACACAAAACAAATTGGGTTTTCCCATCTCATTTATTGCTTGTTGTTGCAGCAGCAACTTCAACTGTCAGTTAATTATATATATATATATATAGTTCAATTAAACAAAATTAATGTTGTGCTTTGCTTTATATATATGTATTTTTTTATAATACTATAATACTTTTTTATAATACTTTTAAGGAGAGAAAATGTACTTGTAAAGGTTCAAGTAGCTCATCTTATGTCTTCATTGAGGCATCAGTCAATCAGTATTTGAATTTTTATTAAAATCTTTATTAATTAAGATTACACACATTTTAGATTTTGAAACAAATCCATGTTACTCTACTCTCTTTTAGCCAACTTTTGTATTCATAATGTCAATTAACTTGCATTTTTGGTAAAATTAATAAACTAATTAATTGAGAAGTATATGTAATTTGTGCGAGGGCAGCACGGTGGCGCAACTGGTAGAGCTGCTGCCTCTCAGCGATCAGGTCCTTGGTTCGAACCCCAGTCCAGAGGCCTTTCTGGGTGGAGTTTGCATGTTCTCTCCGTGCATGCGTGGGTTTTCTCCGGGTGCTCCGGTTTCCTCCCACAGACCAAAAACATGCATGTTAGGCTGATTGGTAACTTTAAATTGTCCCTAGGTGTGAGTGAGAGAGTGAATGGTTGTTTGTCTCGTTTGTCTCTATGTGGCCCTGTGATGGACTTGTGACCCGTCCAGGGTGTACCCCGCCCCTCGCACAGTGATTGCTGGACATGGGCACCGGAGACCCCCGTGACCCAAAATGGAATAAGCGGGTAAAGAAAATGGATGGATGGATGTAATTTGTGCAAAATGATAGTCACCTCTATATGTCACAAAGAAAAAGGTGTTGAATATTTAATTGACTTGCAAAAAATTGTGTATCAAAAAAAACAAACAAACTTGCTAAATATACATAAATAAATATATATATATATATATATATATATATATAATTTGAGGCATCCAGTAGCATGCTCTGATTGTACATAATAAAAACAAAAAACAAAACATGAAACAATCAAAAAAGAAACAGAATACACAAATTTGGAAAAAGACAATATTGACATGCACAAGGTGGTAGGGAGTTCTACATATATACACATCTAAGCATACATGTACATGTATATTCATATGCATATGTACATGTTAATATACATACATACACATACATAAGTGTCTGGGATGATGCAGATTTACAAGGCTCTATTTTTACTGTACAGGGAAGAGTTGAACAGTCTGATGGCTAGAGGGACAAAGGACTGTCTGACTCTGTCCGTGGAACAGGGCTGGAACAGCAGTCTACCACTGAAGGAGCTCCTTTGCTTCGTGATGGCACCGTGCAGAGATGGTCAGCATTGTCCATAATAGTAGCTTACTAAGTGCCATTTTCTCTGTCACTGATGTAAGGGACTCCTGCTCTGTTCCTAATACAGAACCAACTTTCCTCACCAGCCTGTCAAGTCACCCTGCATTTCTCATCTTAATGCTGCCTCCCCAACATACAACTGCACAAAAGAAGACATTACCACAGACTGGAAGAACATCAGCAGTAGTTTCCTGCAGATACTGAAGGAGCCAAGCCTCCTTGGGAAGTAGAGCCTGTTCTGACCCTTCCTGTAGGCATTAGAGTCCATGTTCACTGACAACTCAAGCCTGTCATCCAGTTGTATGTCCAGATATGTGTAGGTCAGAGTCAGTTTATTTGTCATACACACCACGCAGTACATGTGGTGGAATGAGATTATGTACACAGGGTCCCAGTTACACCCCACAATAAAATGTAAAATAAAAACAGCAATATGATTTAAGATATGAACTAAAAAAACATCAACTAAATTTACACTAAGCGCTAATAGCATAAAAAACAATATGCCGAACAGAATTCTTTGTCAGAATCGGAATAAGCTTTATTATTATTGTACCGAGATACAGCGAGAATATGTCCATACAGTCGTCCAAAAGATGGGTGGAGTGCATGTAGCTTCTGCTCTTTGAGAGCGCGGCCTCTTCCTTTTCAGAATACTTTTAGATAGAAAAGGGGAAAAGGCCATGAGGGTGGATAGTGGTATTACAAAAAAAAATATCTCTTCACATGTTGTCCTGTCAGAACATGATTTAAGACATCAAAAAAATTCTACCAGTAAGCACATTTACAAACACATTACATATACATTTGACATCAAGACAGTGGAATTTGTCCATGCACTTTCAGGTAGGCCACAGCTCTGATGATGCTGTTTCAGCTGGCAGTTCTGATAAGTGGTGTGTGTGTGTGTGTGTGTGTGTGGGGGGGGGGGGGCAATAAACAAAATAAAACTTTTTCCATAGTTACCAATGTCCCAGGATACATTTGATAGTCGGCTCATATCCGAGGCCAAACGTGGGGAGTCAGATTCAAATAAGCCACAAATGTTGAATTTCTTCAACCAGACTGTTTTTCTCGTCAGCCTTGAGTCCTGCTGGAACTTCCTCAGTTCAAAATGTCCAGATTTGTGGGTATTCCTCTCCACTGATCCGCATTATGAGTCTCCCCAAGGTCGATCTCATATGCTGTCAAGTCCTAAAGCCGCAAGTGGCCTGCATTTCTCACAAATCGTCTCCATCTTACAGCTTAGCTCATCAGTCAGCTGATTTTGATTCCTCATAGTACAAACTAAACACAGACTTGGAAGCTTGCCATGGCCAAAACTGCTGCCAATGTCTTCTTCAAAGTTGATAAAACAGAGCCCCGCCAATGCAAAATAGCAGAACCTCTGCTCTCATAAATCCAAAATATAAATGTTTTCAGCATTCTCCCGAGACAGAACTGAAAGACACATCAGCTGATCTCTGATGTACCTTGCAGTGTGAGTCTCAAACGGTCAAGAGGGTTCTCCAGGACCTTGTCATTTTGTTGAAAAGATTTAGTCGATTTTGTTTTACTGATGTTCAGCTGTAGATGGATGGATTTGCCCAACACTACAATGTTCAGTTACAGAAAATTTGTAAAACACTTTATTTAAATTAAAGTAGCAAAAGCCTGCCATATTTCATATAAGGTGATTTTATTATTGCATATATTATTTATATTAATGTGCGTTTTGATTTGCAGATAGAGGGGAAAAAAAATGAAAGAAAAAAGTCTACCATTCAACATTTTAGAAGGCAAGACATGTAAAAGCAAAAGTAGAAAATGATTGGCATGGACAGAGGGACAACAATGATTAAGAATCGATGCCCTCAGCTCCTCTGTGTATAGATGCATGTTGAGTCTTTGAAAAGCACTGCAATTAAATGATTTATTATTGCATGGATATTTCAGTGGACACTCATTCTCATGGTGAACCTGGGGTTCTGCCAAGCACAACAGCCTCAATGTCCCTTTTCTTCCACCTTCAAGTTTTACAAAAAAAAAAAAAAAAAACTTTTAAAAAATTGAAATAAGTAGTTTGTGAGTTCATTTGGACAAACTGTACAATGTATTGTCTCTCTGCACATAGACTGCAGATTTTGCACTTTTGTTCCTCACTCTTGCTTTCTGAGACTGCCTCAATAAATTCATACAAAATTCATCATTTAAACCAAACGGGGTAGCTAGGTCACCAATTTGGGTCTCGTGTGTGCCAGGAGGCACAAAGGGCTACTTCAGCTAGGTTAAAAGATCTGGTTCAAAGTTTGAACTGAGTGAAGGTCAAAAGACACGTTAAGCTTTAATGGTTTGTATTAAGGACCCTGGGATAAATGTAGCATAAGGTCACTGTGTCCTTAGGTGAACAGCATAATCCAGTGTGTGAGGGAGTGCAGTCATGTGTTCATTTGACCCCATGAATACTAATAGAACCATCTGAATGCTGGATGGCAGTGAGTGTTCTTCCTATTTGCTTGCTTTTATGTAATAATGACCATAATGAGGACCCACACATTCACATTTAATATGGGAGAGATAAAATGACATTGAAGATTGCAGGTTAATGACAGGAGTGAATACCACCAGAGCCTACAAGCTTATGAACAAGCATTTACATTTGTAAACATGTGCACACTCAGACAGAGATTAATCTCCTTAATATTCTTGCAACCCCGGGCTTCATTTGTGCGTAATAATGTGTGGCTGTGTCACATTTGTCAGCAAAGAAAGTCTATCATTCTGGTAAAAACATTTATATAAATAAACCTTAAATACAAAGTACTATTTTGTATAACTTTCCATGCTGCACACATTCTGGGTTCATCTATATAAGGGAGAAGTGTTTAATGACTCAAAAATTAATTAAAGATAAAAGGAAGATATATAACAAACATTTTGAATGTTTTGAGGATGGAAACATTTGTTGACAATGAATTCTTGAATCTTTGTATTCTAATGATTTAGGCAAACCCTAAAAAAATGTGCAGTTAAGAAGATAATAAATTCTATGTCCACAAGGCAAATAAGATTTTCCATGCGTAAAATATAATATAAATCAATGTTTGTTTGTTTGTTTTTTTTAAGATGTTTAATTTGGATTATGAAAGTTGTAGTATGTAAGCAAAATACACACAATCTGGAGAACAATCAAACTTCACACCATAAGGCAGGCAAAGCTAATCTCCACATCATCGGCCTGCATTTTATAGATATTTTACAAGTACATTTTACAAAATTATCAAATGGTAACTAGAACAGAAAAAGTGTTTGAATGCTACTAAAAATAATACATATATGTTGGTTCATCCTCAGGGCTGCGCTCTTATGCCCCTTTTATCCATTTTACATACAAACGATTGTCACAGCCATTTCCCACAGTGTCACATTTTAAAGTTTGCTGATGACTCTGTCATCATGTCCCTTCTCAGGAGTGATGACCCAGATCCTTGGCCTGTGGTCGGGGACTTCACTGA